ACCAAGTTTCACTGAAATATACGCACATAATATACCTGAGACATTAAGATTTTTTTTTTATAGCAAATATATTCCACAATACTTCCTGAAAAGGGTTGACACTTATTGCTTCTGGGCCTATGCCATGCACCATATGACAAGCTTTAGCTTGATGTGAAATGTGAATTTTTATAGCAGTTATATAGGAGTTTATAATAGAAGTGCTCACTACTCCCTGATTGTCTGTGAAAGTTCTATGCACCACCTACTATGGGTCTGCATTCATTTAACCAGTTGGTTGGGTCACACAGGCTTATGCTAGGGCTGGACGTATTGTAATGCTGTACAGGTCTGTTGACCCTATGGGGACATAAATTTTGTCATGTTAATTTGATGCAAGGGCTTTATCAAGATGTAATATAAGGCAAATTCAAGCATGTTTCTGGTTTCAAACTCCCAAACGATGTTTAGACCCAGGGTGGAAGGGGTGTGATGGGTCTTCACACCTGCTCTCTGATGATCATTATCCAAAGACTTTGTAGGATTTTCCCATGGTTTCTCTCTATATATTGTGGAAGTATAACATTGTATAAGTATAACGTTGTATAAGGGGACATGCTGGATACATTGTGTATGAGAGGGCATGCCAAAACATGTTACAAAGTATCTGAGGGAGCACACGTAGGGACAGTTAGCTTTTGAATGGAGAAGCAATTAAGATAGAGCCAGCACGTCTAAGAAGCAGGCATCAGAACAGAAGGTGTGAAGGGCAATTAGTTAAGTTAACTGGAAGCTGTTAAAGGAGATTGTTAACGGTGGCAGGTAATGGAAGATACGTGACTGGTCTCAGGGATCTCGAAGGGTGGTGACTAAAATCTTTTTCTTCTTTTGTCTGTAACTTCTCTGTAACTTGTTCTCCAAAAAACTGTATAAATTAAAAGACACAAGCCCCACTCGGGGGGCTCACTTCTAAATGTATTAGCAGAGCAGCTTTGCGAATAAAACAGAGTGGTCTGATAAATTGTGAGTCTGAGTCAAACTTTGACAATATGTTGGACCCACAAAGGCTGCCCAGCAGTAGCGCTGCAACACCCCCTACACTACGACCATGGGGAGAGAGAAGGCTACTGGAATAGGATCCCTCTATTTTGTAAGCAATCAAAAATGAATATGTTACCACTTTTAAGGTAAGCAGTAGGAAGGGGTGGTTGTCCTTCTGTACCCCACTGACAGTGTTCTTTGGTCTGACTGTCTCCTCTTCCAACCAAGATCGGTTTTAGAACTGTTTGTCAGGAGGTCTCTCTTTTGCTGCAGCTCCTTTAAGGTAGACTCCCCAGGCTGCTTGGCCAATAGCTAGGGGATTACATGTTCCATCCTGCACAGTCAGGGAGGTGCTTTACATGCACAGTACCTTCTCAGCCTCATTTTTCAGGCCCTAAATGAGGTGATTAATTAATTTTGCCCAAAAGGAAGGCGATTGGTTTGGGCAGCCACAGGACTCGCACTGGCCCTTCTGGCCACTACTCCCAGTAGCTCTGTATAATTCTGGCAGGCTCCATGTGCAGACACCTCAGAATGGAGGATTCTTTTTTTGCCAGGTGATAAATTATGCTCGGACCAATATTCTGACCAAACTACTTGACAGTCCCTTAGAAAGTAACTGCATTAATCCTAAAATAAAAGACTAGTTATTGTATTGCATATGTGTGTGTGTGTGTGTGTGTGTAGATTGATATTTTAGCTCATGAACAATTAAATATGAGGAGTAAAAAATATTTTGTGGACTCTTTACTCTTGGGCATCATCATCAATGAGGCATTAGCTCTTTAAAATTCTTCCTACCTCCACAATCACTTGAAACATGCGGATTACTTAAAGTATAATGCTTCCTTTTAATGGGGGAAAACAGGCCTAAATTTGGTTATTTATTCATGGTCTCTCCCACATAAATTCCAGTTTTTAGGAATCTTTCTAAAGATTGCTTTATAAATACTTTATAAGATTATGTTCTGGTAATTGAAATGAGGATACCTCTATTTTTTTTTGCGCATCACAAACCAACTAAATTTTAAACAGGGTCAACCACAAAAATATATTTTAATAACGACAGTTTAAAAATATAGATTTTCAATTTAGTTCTTGCTTTTCATGGTGGCCATAAGAAAACAACATGCAAGGACATCATCACATTTTAAAGAAACGAGCTTGCCTTTAACATACAAGCCCTGGATAGAAGAAAAAGAAGATTTCAGCAAAATACTTCTTTCTAAACAAACTCCAAATTAATGATTTTTTCACACAAAACTAAATCCCACTATGCTATAGACACCTACCTTTTTAGTTGCTGGGCAATATAAAGTAATGAATTAGGCATTAAATCTTGCATCAGCACAATTGCTTTTTTGGTGGGGAGGAGTAGCACTGACAGATGGGAGTATATTGGAATATACAGGTCCCTGTGACTGCTTTGGGTTAGTCTCTCGCACACTGAAAGCATTGGGGAAAATTAATCCCACCGTATGTGAAGTAGATTCATAATGCTTTTAGAGTAGGACAGTGGAAAAAACAAGGGGCCAGTACTGACAAAAGCATAACACCACCACACATAAGGATGTCATTCTACCAGCAACGTTATAACATGTAGACGTCTTGCACATGCTTCATGATCACTGGATACTAATAAGCTTGCCAACTACCACCGTGCCTCTAATTCTGCTGGCTGGTAATGCTGAATAACAACCTAAGAGCTATTTATGCCTAAAATACACCTTAGATATAAACATGATAATAAGCATATTAATAATAGAGTTCAAACAGCCATACTAATGTTAGATTTAACGACACTTCTTGATCGTGAGGTACTGCTCACCCACCTAAATGTCTAGCAAGGAAGAGCTAGATTAGCTTTTCTCCTTGAACAGATCCCAAGGGATCACGATGGGCATCATCTCCTCTTTGCTGAGAGTTCTCACATGCAGAGGTGTGCACAGTTCAGTCCTGTCCCCTTTCTTAGGGCTTGTCTACACAGGAAAGTTATACCAGTGTTGGAATACAGGCCTACCTTAGACATGGGTGAACTATGGTTTTCAACTGGGTTGTGATACTAGCATGAGAAATAGGCCCAAAACATGTGACCACAAAGAATGAGATCATGAGAAAGAAGAGATGTGTTAAACTTGTAGTGTTTTCTTATTTAAGATTTGGTCTGAAGTAATTGAAATAAAACATGGTTAATTGGGTACCAGGTGCAGTAAATAATTGGCTATATGTGTTAGTTTAATGTATTATAAAATGGACTTCGCTCAGGTCTAATAATTGGCAATGACATCACTTGTTTATTATAGGGTATAAAAAAATTCTTTTAAAAGGCTATTGCTAATACCTGCCTGACCAAGTTGAAAATGACCAATATGGGTCTAAGTACCCTGGGTCAGCCCTTTTGTAAGTATTTTAATCAAACACCTATAAATGTTCTGTTATTGTTTGGATATAGTAAAATGCTTATTATTTAAGCTTTTTAGACATGCTTAGAGCTATTGTAGAAATATCATGTGACCTTTAGATTTAATAAAGGAATTTATGGTTAAACTGATGTCATGGTAGTATCCCATATTAATGATAATAATTCCAAAAACTAGTATAAGTTAAGGTGTGAATTTAAACCAACATAGTTAAACTGGTATTACACACTCTTTCACACCCATCAACCCACCCTTACTCTGGTGTAAGAAGGCATTTTTTTCAGTGTAGCTTATGTCACCTGGGAACAGGTTTAAACTAAACCAAATAAAGCTACTTTTGTACCAGAACACGTGTGACCACACAGGGGGTTATACTTGTATAACTACATCAGTTTAACCAAACCATATAATTATGTCGGTATAACTGGTAACACTTTCCTGTGTAGAAAAGCTTTGTTCAACACTCACGTAAGGCATGGGTAGACTGAAGGATGCTGTAAGTTACAGGATCATCACTATGCTAACAAATAGCTCTGCCTCACCATCTAGCACAGATAATGTTGACTCCCCTTTGTTACAGTATCTGAGGCAAATAGAAACCTAGATTAAGAACAGTTGGCTCGTGCTCAGTTCAGAAAAAATGGAGGTGGAATTGGTAGGCAAAAGGAAGCCTACCAAAAGACCAGAAGGATCTGAACTGATGGCATTAATAAAGGTAGCTTGCTCTCCTGTTTTCATCCAGGTGGTGAGCAATCTCTGGACCTCTCATTGGAGGCCAGAACATATCCTTCCCCCTTGATCTTTTGCTGGGCAGGAGGGTGTGCCTTTTCTCTTGGATGTGAACTTGGTTGCAGTGGTCAAGACTGTATTATTGCACTGTATTCTGCATTTGGGGGTGACTATGCACAATTTTTTATTTTTGGGCAAACTTTCCAATCACAGTTCAATTCAAGCAGTTTGTTACTTCACAAAAGCTGAAAAATGAATATATGATATAACTAATGTGCTTATACAACACTAATCCAGTACTGTAATTTTACTGATAATTATCCACAGACTGATTATATATTAAGACACTATTATGCCCACATTCAAAATACTCTAGCAGTTTAAGTAATATGTTTTGGGAATTAAAACACACAGTAGAGGGATTTCCTGTATCATAAACATAAGAAAAGGGACAAAAAAGTATCTAATTTATGTTATTGTGAGGAAAAATGGAATCCTTGTTGGCACTGCTTGCAGATAAAGCTTTCTTTAAAAAATTACACACTAATGCACATTTTATACACATTTTAAAATATTAGTTTTTATACTAGTTTTTATCAAGTTTTTATAACTTGAGTTGAAATAATTTCAGTTCAGTTTTAGATTCCCACACAGCATCTGCACTGTTCTAAGATTTATATTTGATAAAGTCTTATAAAACAACTAGTTTTTAAAAAACTTATTCATTGTGGTAGCAAAGGCATAAATCCTGCATTCTCCCCAGAGCCTGTTTCTTTAGGAACATTATAGATTAGATTATTATGGCAAGAAAGATTTAAATATCTCATTTACCTGAACAGCATCATAATACATTTTCTTGCCTTCTTCATCTGTCTTGTCTGACATCAGCCATGCCTTGAGCAAATACTCATAAAAGCTATCTCCAAGTCCTCCAACAGAGACGTGATCTGAAAAGGGAGGAAGAGGATTCAGCAATTCCACCTTGAATTTGAGCACTGAAACACAATTACAGTTTGTAACTGTGATAGATTAACAAATTTCAGGATGCCTCCCTCTAACAATCATGTTATAAATATAGCCCAAAACCTCAGAAAAGTACTTATTTTACAGCAGAAAATATTTTTAAAATAAATGGTTAGTCTTTCTGCTTGAATGACGACCTGTAACAGGGTGGGAGAAGGCAGCCATTATTATTTACATAGTGTCTTTGGAGTTCATGGTATTTTACAGAAATGAAAAAAGTCAATATCTCTGCACTAAGTGTTTATAATCTAAGATAGACAAAAGATGTGTAACTATAATATACTGTAAGGTTTTTTAAAAAACAGAAAAAGTTGGCAAAAAACCCACTCCTAATCTCACAAATGCATTCCTTATTTCGGGGAAGGGGTTGGAATGGGGGCAGGGAAGGGGTGGGAAGAGGTGGGGCCTCATTGAAGGGGTGGAGTGGGGGCATGGCCAGGGCAGTGGCGGGGGGTGGGGGGGGTCAGTGATGCAGCCCTCAGGCCAATGTACTAGTCCTCATGTGGTCCTTGTGGTCATTTGAGTTTGAGACCCCTGCTTTAAAACAAGAGCACTAGATAAAGATTTCCTCTTCCACAAATAGTATTTTCTAATAAAACTATTGTTACTCATATTAATAATTAGCATTTATTGAGCATCTTCAATAAGAGGACTTCAAAGTGCTTTACTGATACTAATCAATTAAAATAATCTAGTTTCACAGATTTGGGAACTGAGGCACACAGAGGTTAACAGGAAGTCTGTGGCAAAGCTGTATAAAGAGCCAAGGACTCCTAACTCCTAGTCCTGGGCCTTGACTGCAAGGCTATCCTTGCTTCTCTATGAAGTTGAATGCGACATTTTGAATTTTTCAAAATTCCTAAATTCTCTCCCTCTCCCCATTCACAAAATGCATCCTCTTGCTCACCTTGGGGGTTGGAAAGCCATGCAAATGTAGAATCTACATGTATTTCCATTAAAGCTTTGCCACGACAGTGTGTCTTTTCTCCACTAGCCTGTGACCTCCAGTGTCCAATTTAGGTGTCCAAAATATTTCCTAGTATCCCATCCCAAACAAATGTACTATGATTATGCAGAGCTTTGAATTATGAAGAGCTTTTAAAAAAATTAGATCTTTTAATTTTTGAAGAGAATATACCATTTAATTATTATTCATAATCCGAAAGGAAAAAAGGCTTCTTCAAAAAAACCCAAGAGCAGTTTTTCTATGATGGAGGGCTGATCTCTGAATAGCAGCATTTAAATGACCTTTACAGTTTCCTAAATAAAATTACCATAGAAACCCTTGACATTTGCAAACTAAATAGCACAAACAATCTCATCAATAATAAGTCTTATTATTATATACATTATTGCAGGAGACAAATCCAATTGGTGCACGCTGCAGCAAATCACTGTAAGGTTACTGTCAAAATAACAAGGACTAAATGAATTTACAAGAACAACGGCAGTGAACCAACAACGTCCTTCAGAGTTACAGCATTGTAAGTGAAACACTAACATTCAGAAGCTGTTATTTTCCCCTGGCTGATGTTTGTGAGACGAATACTTCTATGTTGTTGCAATTAGTTTTTTGTTGCAATCAATAGGCACTGGAAAAATAATCTTAAATAAAACATCTTTTTATGACTTATGTTCTTGTTTTCTTCCACTGTTAAAAATCCGTGCTTGCAAACAAAAAGCAAGTGAATTGGAACAGAGGAAACAAATGTAGATTTAATTTTATTTGTTGCTTTTTCAACATGCCATGGATCGACCTGCATCAACACTTGTGTTCGTGGTTTGTATGGACAAGAAGCTAATTTCCATATATAAATTACATGCCATTGGTAAAGAAAGATGGCTTTATAATTTACAAGCTCCCGGATACGACCCAGGGAATTCATGCAAAAGAGAAGTTTGAGGCACTATTATATAAACATAAGAAAGGTCAAAAGCCCAAATAGCAGAATTAGAATTTGATTCACTTTTAAAAAAGGACAATCAGAGAGAGACAGTGGCAGCTTTTAAACTGGGTGAGAGTAAGGGCTATCTTCCCAGGTGAGGCACTGCAATATTAGGTAAGGTTTCAGAGTAGCAGCCGTGTTAGTCTGTATCCGCAAAAAGAACAGGAGTACTGTGGCACCTTAGAGACTAACAAATCTATTTGAGCATAAGCTTTCGTGGGCTCCAGCCCACTTCATCAGATACATATATATCTTCTTACTATATGTTCCATTCTATGCATCTGATGAAGTGGGCTGGAGCCCACGAAAGCTTATGCTCAAATAGATTTGTTAGTCTCTAAGGTGCCACAAGTACTCCTGTTCTTTTTGCGGATACAGACTAACACGGCTGCTACTCTGAAAGATATAAAAGAGTATAATTTAGGTCCTCAAATCCATTATTCAATAAAAACAGTAACTTCCTTTGCCTTTGGGGACAACTCTCCAATATACCCAGGCTGCAAACAGAACAGTGAGGATTCCTCATGTCCCCTCCCATTGTGTGTCTTGTTTAACTGACTGCATGCTTGGCAAGTTTTGAAATTAACTGAGCTGCCTGATATAGTCAACATGACAGAACAAGACAGAATAAGCAACCTGTTCCTCTGTTTAAAGAAAAAGAAAAAAAAGCAAAAGGATGAAAGACTACCAGATCATGCCAACTCAGTGTTGTGCCAGACTGAGAAAGTAAGAGGGTGTCTAGAGAATAAAATCTGTGTGTTCATGCTGACTTAAATGATTTTTCCGATCCACCTTTTCTTTTGTCCTGTAGCGTACATGTAGATCATTTATTTAAAAAGCAGAAAACACGAACAAATAAGGAAGTCAATATTAAATAGTTTCTTCAAAAACTGACATTTAAAACCAGCAAGAAACTTTCTACATTATGTCATTCCCTCTAAAATACTTTACTAAACACATTTAAAAAGAACAACTTTCCCAAAACAATTATTTTTCTTTTATATTCTAAGGTCTGGCTCCCCAGAGGAACTTAGGTGCTGCAATGCCTAATTTTTAGGCACCTTGAAAATCACTAGAATCCACAAAGCCTGGGTTAGGCACCAAGCCTCTCTGTATGATGAATGAGGAGAGATAGGCATCTAAAAATGGGATCTACAAAAGCCAGCATGCTAGGTTTAGAGTCATTCTCAGTCTCTCTCTCTTGCCCAATGGCTATTTCAGCATCTATCCAAAGTAGAACAGGTTCAACAGGAGAGATGGAGAGAGACTCACATTAGAATATCCCAAAATCCAATGGATAGGGCTCTCTCCTTAGAAAGGATTTGAACCCTTCTCCCCATCAGCCAGAGCTGCCCACATCCTCGGTGAGTGCTCTATCTAGTGGGCTAAAAATTATAAGGGTGGCACCACTACCTCTTCCTCATTCTGCTGGATTTTGAATGGGCTTCAATCCAATAGATGTGCTCAGAGCATGCCTACCAAATCAGGTCCTGCAGGTAAGACAGGTGAGGGAATGCCCATCTTCACCTGGCTTGAGAATCCAGCTGGGGCTTGGGCATGAGATAGATACCCAAGTACCTTGTATATCTCTGCCTAAATATTTTAATAATTCCTATTTTGTTTCTTTTCAGTGGGTGTGCAGAATCAACTGTTCAGAAGAATTTCTATGATGGGATTGCTACAGTAAAGGTAAACCAAAGTTCCTCTTGTAAAACCCCCCAAACCACAATCATTTAATAGTGTAACAATATAAAAAAGGGATTCTAGTAACACCTTCTAGTTTAGCAACCCATGTTCTCAACATGCTATAGAAGTACAATAGGCAGTGTTCATACAGGAAAAAGTCAAATGACCAGAAAGGGGCCAGGAACTTAAAATGCCTGAGACGTTGTTCAATATATTCATTCCCCACTGATTTTGTTAGATTTTTCCTCATGATGTTTCCAGTGGAATTGAAGGCAATATAATTCTGTTTAGCTTACTTCCTTGTCTGCCTACATCATTTAATGTCAGCAGAACAAATACTCACCTGCAGAAAAATGTTACTCACCTTCTCATAACTGCTGGTCTTTGAGACGTGTTGCATATGCCCATTACACTGTAGGTCTGTGTGCATCTCATGCACCAGTGATGGGGAATTTTTCTTAGTAGTACCCATAGTGGCAGCCCTGCTCATGCTCTGGCTGCTCATGCTCTGAATGGAGGATATAAAGCAGAGGTGGCCAACCTGTGGCTTCGGAGCCACATGCAGCTCTTCAGAAGTTAGTATGTGGCTCCTTGTATAGGCACCGACTCCAGGGATGGAGCTACAGCCTCCAAATTGCCAGGGGGTGCTCACTGCTCAAGTCCTGGCTCTGCCACAGGTCCTGCCCTGCCTCCATCCCTTCCTGCCCCGTCCCCTGAGCCTGCAGTGCCCGCGCTCCTCCCCCCAGAGCCTCCTACATGCCATGAAACAGCTGATCAGAAAGTGCAGGGAGAGAGCGGGAGGTGCTGATCGGTGAGGCTCCCGGTGTGTGTGAGGCGCTGGGAGTGGAGCTGATGGGGTGCTGTTGACATGTTTACTGTGGCTCTTTGGCAATGTACATTGGTAAATTCTGGCTCTCTCTCAGGCTCAGGTTGGCCTCCCTACCCCTTCTTTAGTTTCTTCGGACCAGCATGCCAATGGTAGACTCCGATGTGTTGGGAAAGAGGGTTGGCATATAGCAGACATATGCAACGTATTTCGAAAAACAATAGTTACAAGATGGCGAATAACCATTCTTTCTTCTTCGAGTGCTAGCATACGTCTTTTACACTTTAGTTGACTCCCAAGCTGTTATCAAACGCAATGGGCCTTGAAGTCGCATCATAAGAGTAATTGTAGAACCATTTTTCCCTTGTTTGTGTCTTTTCTTGATGCAAGCAATAAGTGCATATTGTCTAGTAAACGTGTTGACGGAAGACCATGTTGCTACTCTGAAGAAGTCAGTAGGGAAACGTTCCACAAATGCATGCTTTACTTCCACACTGCCTCTGAAGGGTGCAACTAGAATACCAGAGTTCCCGCAGCCGAGTTGACTCGGGGGGCAGGGAGTGTGTCTAGACAAATGAAGGGGACTTGAAGGGGCTGGGCACCAGTTTCAGGATCTTAGCAGACCGGGGTCATGGTGGATTCTCCAAGGAGTAATTGTTGAGCTTCTTTTTGACAACCAAGAGGGTTCAGACATTGATCTAAGAGCAGCCTCCACAGAATACATCAAAGCTGCTCTTCCCTCAGCTTTTTCATTCTGGTCTTTAAGCCCTGGCATATCAAGCATCTGTCTCTTATGTGGCCCTCATCCACGCACTTAAGACAGTGTGAATGAGGGTCAGCTCATGAAAGCTTATGCTCAAATAGATTTGTTAGTCTCTAAGGTACTCCACAAGTACTCCTTTTCTTTTTGCAAATACAGACTAACACGGCTGCTACTCTGAAACCTGTGATAGGAATCTGCTTTTGACAACCAGAGCAAGGCTTGAAACCTGGCGACCTTGGCATAGGCTCCCCAATACTAGGTGAGACCTGGAGATCTGTCCAATTCAGAAAATGTACTAAAAGGGAATAGTTTTTAATATAAAGGAAAATACAGAAAGAAAAATAAAGTCCAATGGATGAAACACAGTAACAATAGGCAAAAGTTAGCTAAAGTACTCACAAGTTTGTTCTCAGGGAGCGAGGCTGTGAACACAGAATGCTCCGACTACTGATCACAGAAGGTAAGAAAAACTCAAGAAGGGATGGGGTAGCTCCTTCCTCTATGCCCTCCATTCAGAGCTTGGTTGTGGGCAGGGCGGCCCCTACAGATACCACTAGGGAAAACTCTCTGGAACCAATGCATGAGACACATACGCCTACAGTGTAATGGAGTGGAGTAAGCACTCACAGAAGAAATATAGAGGCAAACCCTCAGCTAATATAAACTGGCACAGTTTCATTAACTTCAATGAAACTAAACCAATTTATACCAACATAGAATTTTGATCCAAGACAAGCTGATAGCATTTCTTTAAACAGCAGCCTTAACAGCACTTTAATTTTTTCAGTGAAAAAAGACATTTTTCAATCACACACTTAGACTCATTCAAAAGTTTTCAACTAACAAATATGCTAGAGGTCAGAGAAATATAAATTAACATATATGAAGTAGGTAGAAAAATAAGTAACCCAAGCAGAACTCAGGTTTATCAATTGCTAACAGTGCAAGAAACAACCAAGAGTTGATGTCTTCCTAGAAATGGTATGTAAAAATAGTTAACTGGCAGTTCTGAAGAACTGTCATACTTACGTTGACCCCATTGACCGCTACTGGGATTCAGGTAATTAGGGTAAAGACCTTCTGGTTTATCAAGCCGGTTCAGAACTTTACGAATGTTCATTACCTATTACAAAGAAAACCAAACAATGAGCACTTGATCTAGTCTTATATTCCCATTAAATACAAGTAGCATCAGTACATCCTTTTTTAAACCAACATGCATAAATACATTTTAATTCAAACAAATACATATTCTTTCAACATATATAATGTCCCTATCGAAAGACCTCTATGCATAGGCATAGAGGATTTCTTTTTAAAATAAACAAATCTAATCTAGTCATCAACTAAAATGCTCCACAGAAAAAAAGAATGCTCCACCGATATTGAGATCATTGCAGGACCATAAGACAGCAGCTATATTCTGCATCAGCTGTAGTCTGTGTGTCCCTCAAGCATGGTTCATTGTAGATAGAGCACATGTAGTATTTTAATGGAATTTTAATGAAAGACACCAGATTAACTGCACTGAAGAAAGAAGATCATGATTTAGCCACAGAACAGAAACAGCAATGCAGGAGCACTGGGAGCTTTTTCCTAAAACACTGTCAAGATGTCCTCAGCTCTGTTGGAGTTCCTACCTCTATGATACAGAATGTAGTTCCATTTAAAGGTTATTCAAATCTTTGGCTTCTTTGCCAAGATTATCTACTTGTGCATTTTCATTAGGTTTTTCTTTGTTCTTAATACTAGTTTAAAAATTAAAATATGTTATCTTAAATGTTACTTCTTGTGAGCCTGGGGAAAAAACATTTGAAATTCAAATTTATTTAAAACAAACTCTGTCCTTAATTAATCTCATTTTGCCATATGCATTTCATGGATTCCAATAATTGTGTGAGCTTTAATATTGCACTCTACATAATGGGACAATACATTGTTCAGCCAATCCATGAAGCTTGGTGTACTTAATACTCAATTAAAAGGTTTGACCACTGCTTTTGGAGCGAAACAAAGTTTACAGCTTCCTTTGGAATTTCTTATTAAGATGTCATAATTTAACAGAGAAAAGTCATTTTTAAATATGTATATTGCTGTATACATGTCTGACCCATTTCTAATTAATAAACAAAATTAAGTACATAAACTACATTAATGCAATGTTCCTGTTGCGATCTAAAATATACAAAAGTCAGGAAATAAAAACATACGATTACATCATCTATAATTCTACTCTATTGTACATAGTAATATTTTATATAAATGCATGTGGTATATATGTTAAATGTAGCTGAGTTACAGTTGCCTAGGAACCAGTAATTTAATTTTAACGCCTTTGCACACAGTTTTTTGTATTTAGTAATTTTTTTTCAAAAATAAAAAAAACTCTGAATACATATTCAATAAATCTACCTGTATAAGATCCATATCCACCATTTTGTCACCTTTTTTAGTCCAACAGAACCAAATCTATTGACCTTCAGAGCATGCTGCAGATCTCTTTAACAAGGCCTTTAAGGGAGCTGTTGAATAGACCAACTCTGGGTTTTTCTGTGGAGTTTCTTACTTGATATCAGATTAGGTTTTTTAAATTGTGCATATGCACAGAGGTCTTTTGATAGGCACATTATAGATTTTGAAATAATAGACATTTTTCTTATTTAAAATGTATTTATGTTTGTGATTAAAGGAACAATTCACTGGGAACATTTTTATATTGTACATACACATGGGATTATTAAAATTATTGTAGTACATTTATTCAAATATGTATCTATTCCAATAAACACATCTGTACTGATTCAATATAAATCTGTACACCAGTAAATGAAATACTGTACTGTGGTGCAATATGTTAAAAACTTAATAGAAAAAACATACTATGCAGGAACCATAGGCTTTTTTAGAATGCATAAAAATTTATTTGTATGCGATGTTTCTTCAAATATGTAAAAAATCATCAAGCCACATTTGAAGTTTTTAAAATAATCCATTTGTAGTTATCTAAATGTGAATACAGGGCTAGCCACAACAATTTCTGAAGTAGTGAAAATGTTATTTTTTTAAAGCTCAAAAACGGCCACGTAGAATTTTACCAAACTTGGAAAAAATGCACCTTTGGGCTGTGAACAAGTATGAGAAATATCACTTAAAGGGTACTTTCCTCAAAAAGTTATGAACACTATAAAGATGGACATGAAATGGAAGAGACTCCCAAATCCCTTACTTACAGTAGTGACACCCTGTATTTTTAGAAAATGCATCGAAGTGATTGCTAGGTCACAGTCCTTTGTACTTCTGCATGAACACAGTATATTATCTGAATATAAAATTCATTTGTGGTTTTCACCTTAACCAAACAAGTTACACCAACTAAAATAAGTGCTGTGTTCCAAATACCTAATCTACATGAATTTACCACTTAACCAAACTTCCAAATATTATGTGGCCTGATAAGTGGTTTTCTAATTTTTATAACCATGACAAAATGGATGTCAATTCAGCCATGTGCTTTGTGTTCATTAATATGGATTCCCACAGAAACTATTCACCTGCTTACTGTGACACACTTAAAATTACAGAAATTCCAATTTTTCATTTTTTTAAAATAAAAGTTTTACCAAAGAATCTAACCTTTTCAGCAAACACTGGGTTTCCAGACAAATGGCTCAAATGTATGAACTCCAAATGCAGAGTTCCAAATTCTGCCAGAATACTGCTTCCTCCAGAAGCCCAGGGCCAGTTTCGACCAATCCCACTAAAGGGAGGAAAAGGCAGAAAAGGTCATTAGCATCTATAAAGTAGTACTAATAAAATATACGGTATATTAGGTACACTCTAGCTACCAGAAGAGAATTAACTTCAAAGCTTTTAATTAATAACACAATGAAACTTGTAAAAGTAACACCCTTACTAGGCCACCTTCTGTTTTATGAAACTACCCCATAGTTACCTTAAATGTTTGAGTACAATTCAATTCTGCTCCACCTTTATTAGACCACCTTTTTAAGCAAGTCAGACATTGATTGATCACTTAAAGATTTAGCTGTATTTATGTTTACATGACTACTATGCATTCCTAAAGTTAAGTTATAAGCCCTTTGGGGATTCATGTGTTTGTGCACAACGCTTAGCACAATGGACCCGGATTCTGACTGGGTTCTCTGGGTTTCTACTGTAATCTAAATATTGAATATTAAATTTATGAAGTCTCAATAAAAGATTTCATAAGACTTTAGAACATAAATCCTACCCTAATAATGTAGATTTTAACTACAGGTATGATAGCTATCATCCATTGTCTTTCAGGGCACTCTTTAACCATGATTAATGTTTTCAGAATTAAATTCAGAACTAACAACACTTCACCGAATAAAATTTAATCTTTACAGATGGGAGGCTGAGCTTTGGGACCCTCCCACCTTGCAAGGTCCTAGAGCCCAGGCTGCAGTCGGAGCCTGAATGTCCACACTGCAATTAAACAGCCCCTTAGCCTGAGTCCTGTGAGCCAGTCAGCTAGCATGGGCCAGCTGTGGGTATTTAACTGATAAATTCAAAGAAACAAGTGCCACCTCTTTACTGTGCTCTGCCTGAAGCTTGACTGACAGTTGACAAGAGGCACTGGAGAATTTTTTTTTTTTTAAACGAGTCTCTCGATTTGCATAGGGGAGTTTAAACATTGGACTCTATCTTGCAGGTGGTGCTCACTGGTAAACTGAATTCCACTTCCACAAAAACATTTGAGGGTTTTTTCTGGGGAGAAAAAAGTTGTCTCAAATTGGGACAAAAAGCCAAAATCTCAAAAGTTTTCATGGAAGTGAAATTCTGCAGTATTTTGTTTCAGTATCACTGAACTATTCCTGCAAAGGGAACATTTTAGTGTTTCTGAAACAAAATATGGCCCACAGCCTCCTCAGTCTCTTTGGAGCCTGAAGCCTTGGCAGCCCCAGCACTGTGGAAGCCATTCAGCGGAGCTGCTGAGGAGTCAGGCAGAGGTGGTGACAGGAAACTAGGCAGATTTCTATTGGAAGTTTCAGCAAATAGTTACAGTCCCATAGCAGATCTCAATTGTGGCAAAGACATTTCTGATAAAAAACTTGCAATCAGAAAATTTCCAATCCGCTTCATTTGCGAAGTTTCTAGCATGTCATGAAGGTTTCTTTAGTACTGGCTGGAGTATTAGAGGTTTTAGGGTGGGTGGCAGATTCTCCTTGTCCAAGGTGACATTACTAGGGCACAGGTATTCTCTATTTTTGCTCCATTAAAAGTAAATATCAAACTTCCAGGCTTCAGATTGTATTTTTTCTTCTAAAGATCCTGAGGGACTTGTATTATTGTCTTCACAAAAGGAGGGAACTACAGCTACTGAATGTACACGTCTTTTCATACATTTGATCACAAAAGTTGCTTAAAATAAGCACAGATGGATTTTCGCAATTATGCAAAGTAATTAAAAATAGTGTTATCTGAAACCTGCCGGTTTTGGCTTTCGCAGATGTCACTGGTCAAAATGGCAGGTGGTGTACCCTAAATTCAAACTAACTTCAGTATCTTCAGCAAACTGGCCAGCTGTGCAGCACTCTGCTGCACATAGTTGACCTTGTCCCCTCCCATGTCATCTTTATGAGCCAACAAAGCAGGAATATTCTCCCCATCCCATCAGGATATTCAGGGGAGTGGGCAACTTGCCATCCCTGATATTCAGCAGTACAACACTGGTCCTACTGCAATCTATACTTACTTCATAAGGGAGGGGAAAAAAGATGCATCCCAGAATACATCACAGGCATAGAGAACACTGCATGTGGCCACTTTCTGAAGAGATAGTATGGGAGTTAGCTGTACTTCCACCAAAAGATTTCGCAGAAGGGGAATGAGGAATTTCAGGGCATCTGGTCCCCACCATCCAAAAATGAAAGCAGATATCTCTTACAAGCCTTGAGTGAGGGCTTAAAGCTGAGGCCTCTGATGTTTGCATGGGCTTTGAAAAGTAATTTTTGTAACCAGATTAGGTAATCATAAGTAAGGCTAAGATTTTGTCACGCATAATTTTAGTAAAAGTTATGGACAGGTCACGGGCAATAAAGAAAAATTCACGGAAGCCCGTGACTTATTCGTGACTTTTATTTAAAATATGCATGACAAAATAGAGAGCTGCAGGCTCCCCACACCACCCAGGGGTGCCTGGCTTGGAGCTGCAGGGTCTCCACACCACTGGCAGCTCCAAGCTCGGGGCACCCCCACCACCTGTAGTGGCTCTGGCTTGGAGCTCCTGGGCACCCCTGCTGGCTGTGCCGCTCCATGTTCCCGGGTACCCCTGCCAGTCACAGCAGCTCTGTGCTCCGGGGCACCCCCGCTGTCCGCAGCGGCTGGGAGCTGAGAGGCACCCCGTGGCCCTCTGCAGCTGGGAGCTTGGGCCCTGCAGTTCCCAGCAGCCAGGGGTGGCGGGGACCCTACAGCTCCCATGCATGGGGGCTCAAGTGACAGAGGTTTCTGGAAGTCACAGATTCCATGACTTCTGTGACAAAGTCGTAGAACTAGTCATAAGTGATTTGGATGATACGGTGTTTGACAAGTCAAAAGCAGTTGACTATGCATGATTATTTACGGATCAGTCAGCTGTGGAAGAAAGGGCTGTTAATTTTTCAACAAAAGATGGAAAATGCCAATTTGTTGAAACCAAAAATGTGAGAAAGGGTTGCTTTTGGTAAAATTTCAAAACATTTTCAAAAAATGTTTTGAAATTGTTGATATATCTCTTTTCAATATTTTCTAAATGAAAAATTTTATTTTGTTCAAAAAAACCTTTTCACTTAAAAATGTAAGTTACTTTAAGTTATTTATAGTAAAAATAGGTTGAAAATTTCAATCAAATATAATTTTTTTATTTTCAAGATTTATTTCAAAGAAAATTTTCAAGATTTTCACTTTTGGTCTTGATTCGGGATGGGATAATTTTTCAAAATCTCAAAAATCCTTGTGGGATGGGAAAACAATTTTCTGATCAGCTGTATTTTGTGGTTCAAACTAATTTTTTAAAATTCCATTTAAATAAACTGTTCAGATTAATTAAATGGAATGATGGTTGATCTGATCTGCTGCTCTGTAAAAGTTGGTCTCAAAACAATTGTTCTGAAATTAAGGGCTTATCCGCATGGCCCCACAGTTTGGACTACGGGATGTTAATTGTACGGAGCACTAGTGTGCTGTGCTGTGTAGCTCCCTTGTTTGGATGCTGCAGACATTATCTATAAGGTACCTACTCCACATCAACTTAGTGCTGTTTAAAGAGGACTACATTTAAGCAAAGTAAGTATTCTTGAGTTTGTGCCTACACTATCCACACACAATTCACACCCTCTGTAGTCCAAACTGCGTAGAGATACTTCCAGTAGAGACACATTTTTCTCCTACTCTTTCTAAAATTCATTAGAAAGTCTTTTAGAATCTCAGACTTATGTTTACTTAAAATGGTCCTGTTTTGGAAAGGTCATTCGCAATAACATTCATTATAAATATTATTATTTATTTGTATTACTGTAGTGCCTAGGAACCCAAGGTATGGACTAGGACCCCACTGTCTAAGTGCTCACATAGTGCTACAACATATTTTTTTTAAACGGTGCATTTTATATGACTAACTAGTTACAGCTAGGCAGATGGTACAGTACATTGCTCATTATAATGCTCTCTGAATAAGTTTCAAAAGTTAACATGATACATTATGAATGTGAAGTGCCACTATTATAGATGTCATACATGTCAATTTTATTAGTTATCTTCCCTTATGCCTCTACCCAAAGAAAAAAATATCTCCATGGGTACATTCCATTTAGGTTAAATTGATTGTTACATCCATACAGGCATCTCCAGTTTCCGTAAGTGATACCTTTGTGAGTCAGTTCATAATGGCCAGTCATGGCAGTTGTAATAAGCAGTATTCATACAGTGTAAAAATTCTCAGGTCTAGTTCTCATCTGACAACTACTTTTTCAGAACAATATTTTATTAAATGAAACCTCCTTAGCAGCAGTGAAAAAAGGTCAGTACCAATACAGGTTTTTATCTATACGTTCAATGTCTACCTTTCATATGAAGTAAAATATTTTAAAAGTCACACCTGCCACATAACCAGATAGCATAAAATAAGTCAATTTGATAAATAAAACATAATTGCTTCCAACATTTTTACTAAGCAAATGAAAGGAATCAAGAATATGTTCTAAACATTCAGCAACACAGGTGCACACATAAAAATGAGCTACCGGTGAAGAAATTTGTCCCAATTGTGCTCTCTAGTTGAGCACAAAGATTCTGTAGGTCAAGTGACTCTTGACAGACAACCAACGAGGTGGCTACAGTAGGTCTGCTTCTTCAAATATCAGATATTTTATACTCTATTACTGAGTACTACCTCAGAAATGCTTTCTTAAGAATAATCCTCCATTTTCCCTGAACAAAGGTTAAATTTTACTGCTTTAATACTTAATGAAAAACTGATCAACTTCTTTTATCACCACAGCACTATAATCCAATGTGGGGAGTTATGGTACCGGCAAGAATGGTAGGCATTTGATCCCCAGAGGGTTTTATAGGTGCCCTGTCCAGGATTTTCAAAAGCCTCTTGTAATTTTGGGTACCCAACTTCAGACACTTAAAAAAGGCACATGGTTTTCAAAAAGTGCTGAGCACACTCTGAAAATCAGGTTCCTTTGAAGTGTCTCAAATTGGGCACTCAAAATCATTACTTACTTTGGA